ACAATATACGATATATACTACATGATATATAATATATAATATATAATATATATAATATATAATATATAGTATATAACATACAATATATAATACATAATATATAGTATACAATATACAATATATATAATATATAATATGCAATATATAATATATAATATATAATATATAATATACAATCTATTATACAATATATAATATATATTGTATAAAATATACAATATATAATGTATAACATATAATATATAATGCACTTGTGTATAATCAGCAGCAAAAGAAGACAAAAGATTAAATATAATTCACTTGTCTACATTACAAAGCAAGAGAAGGAGAGAAAATTAATGAAAAGAATAATATAATGCAGTTGTGTATAATGAGCAGCACATGCAGAAGAAAGACAAGAAAAACATAATGCATTTGTGGTGTATATTACGGAGCAGCATAAAAGAAAAGAAGATAAAAACAAAAAAGAAATATATAATGCAATTATATTATATGCATATATATATAATATAGTATATATATATTGTATATATAATATATACTGTATATTAAATATATATAATATGCAGTATATATATAATACATACGTATATATAGAATATATAGCATATATATTGTATAGATCTATATATTATATATGTTATCTATATAATATACAATGTATATATTATATAGATATATATTATATAGATATATACATATGTATAATGCACACAGTATATATTATACATATATATTATATAATATATAATACACAATATTATATAATGCAATAATATAATAATTGCATTAAAATATAATATATAATATAAAATATAATTGCTTATTAACCCAAGCGAGCTCTTCGTAGTCCTTTGATAAAGGCGAGTGCAGCACCGAAGAGAAGATTCTGCTGGCAGCACATTTCTGCGATTTCTTCGATATTTTTCATGCATTGCTCCAGCCATTCAGCTTGTTGAATGAGTTGTCTATCAATAGCATTTAATACTTCTTCTGCTGATGCATCTCCTTGCATTGCAAGCGAAGTAAACACTTTCTTCTGATGTATCATTGCTGCTCTGCCCCTGCGGTTAGAGAAATACTCATGTAGCTTGCTTAGAAATACACCTAAGCAGTTGTACTTCTTCTGCAACTCCTTCAAGTTCTGCTGCTGCTGCTGCTGCTGTTGCTGCTGCTGTTGCTGCTGTTCTTCTTGCTGCTGCTGCTGCAGTGAAGCAACTTCCCGCAGAATTTCTTCAAATGAATTTTCTAACCTTGCTGACTGCCAGTCTAACTTCAATTCACAAGAAATACAGTCGCGTACAGCAGAGAGATATTGAGGTGTATCGAAGAGGCTGTGTCCTATAGAAGCAAATGTTTCTATTTGTTTTTCTTCACTTACATCTACAAAGTTTTCCCAGGCCTTCATCTCTTCATACACCGCAGCACCAAACGCGAATAACTCACCCCATATCGCGCTAAGAACTCTGTCTTCATTTCCTGCGATCTGTTCAGACGCAGCTATTATATCTTCTTGTGCTTTTTTCTTGTCGTCTTCTTCAAAGTACTCTGTTAAAGCAATCACATCCTGCACCCATAATGCTGGAGAAGGGGTATGCAGCAGATCTTGTGCAGAAGAAAAACACGAAAAAAAGAATAATAGAAAGCATAATGCAAACGGCGGAAGGTATAGAGCCCTCATGATGAATCGGTAACTCTTGTGAGGGTATATCAACAAAGAAAAGAAAGAAACAATAAACAAAAATAAATACACCGGCGAGAAACAATATATAAATCTCTATATATCAATCTCAATGCCTAATCCATAAACCCTACATAAGTACAAAGGCGGCGGCTCCATCGTTAATGCAGAAACAAAACAGAGAAACTGCAGATAAACAGTTTCCTACGAGGTCCAGCGGGAGATAAGGCTCTCTAGAACACAACGCCTTTCGACTCAAGGGTTTAGGGTTTAGCGTTTCTTGAAGTTTAGGGTTTAGGATTTAGGGTTTCTTGAAGAAAGCCCTGAACCTCTAAGGACGGCCAGCAAGAAATGAAGCGCTTGAACAAAACCGCTCTCTTCTTTGATGAAACTACAAAGTAAGGGGAGAATTGCGGCTGAAAAAACGCTTCTAGATTGACAAATAAGGCAAAGGAACAAGACATAAGATTTAGAGAAACTCAAAATGGTGAGAATGCCTCGTTGCAGAAACCTGAATGAACAGTCGTCAAGGTCCGGATCTGGGGTGTACACGCAGCTCAGCTTTGCAGAGTGAATCTGCACGATCAGGAGAATTTAAGCCACTAAAACCCCTTATTAAAAAAAGAAATTATCATTTATTATCAAAGAATTCAATAAGAATTCTTTTTATTTCAAGAATAATGCATAAAACCCAGAAAGAAGATCTTCATCCATAACAACAAGACCCACATCACTCACCGCACATGCAAGAGCCGTAGGCTACCGAACGTGCAAGAAAAAAGTGAAATTAAGAGAAAGTAAGGAATATTATTTCTGAATATTATATATATTAAATTAAAATCAGAAATTAACTAAAATATATATCTAAATTACCCGTTATCTTAATTCAATCAGACTATTTATCTCCGTTTCCACTTGAAGCTGCCCCTCAATCAAGCTTGTGTTGAGGGGCGTCAGAAGCTGCTCATTTAAAGCCTTTGTCTCTGTGCATTTCCTCCTTATTCTTTTAAATATAATATTAATATTAAAATATTTAAACGAACCGCATTAAAAAGTAGATTTATTTACATTTTTCTGAAGCAAGAATCAGCCCTGGGCCTAAGACAAGGTCTGATCAATCGATTGCTAAAGAAACACAGAGCCCTATAAATAAACCCATTATCCTTCTTCTTTTTTTCTAGCGATTCTTTCTAAAGAATATTCGTTATTTTATATTTATTTTTTAAATTTGAATTTATCATTCACAGCTTAATAAAGCAGAAAGAAGAAGCACTTCTTATTATTGCAGCGAAGACCCCAAGCACCGGCAGCAGCAATCAGCATTTTGTTTGTCTTGACTTCCGCTGCAGTATAATTTCTTGTATATATATTTTTTTCTTTATTAGTTATATATATACATTTATTTATATATATTTATATGCATTTTGCTCTCGCCTATGTACAGCAGCAGCAATGGTGGTGGTGGGAGTCGTAGGCCCCAGAAGAAGCGGCAAGAAGACAGCTGCTGCATTTCTTTCGAAGTTTTATGATGCTGAAGTAATTAATATACATCAATTTAAACAAAACTCTTGCAAAGATATCCAATACAAGCATCAAAACAACGACACACAGCCTTCTTCCGGTGTATGTACACCAGATGCCTCCTCTCCAGCTGCTGCTGCTGCTGTAGCAGCAGCAGCAGCAACAACAGATACAGCAGCAGCAAACGCAGCACATGCAGCTGAAGAGGAAGCATCAGATGCCTCAACAGCAAGCGCAGCAGCAGCAGCAGCAGCAGCAATGGATTACTGTAAGGAATTAAGCACTTTATAAACCCGTCTCTTTGTTTTGTTTGTGTTTTGTTGTTGAAGTTATTATTGTTCTTCTTTGCTGCTGCAGCTGCTGTATTGGCTGCTGCTGCTGCTGCTGCTGCAGCTGCTGTATTGGCTGCTG